TATACCGCCTTGACATACTCCTTTTCCTATTTGGAACCAGTCTGTTGTTCCATGTCCAGTTCTAACTGTTGCTTCCTGAACTGCATACAGGTTTCTCAAGAGGAAGGTAGTGCTAGTATTAGCTTGTATTAAAGAAATAAAGTTGGAAATAAGACTGTTGTTTCCTTAGCACACTTAAGCAGGCAATATACTACATACTATACATAAATTTTAATAAACACAAAGTCTTTTTTTTTTACAAATTACATAATTTGTAATATTCATAGAAAACACAAATTAGTATACTCATTGATTCAAAACAGATTAGTAGGTAATAATAAAAAAAATCTTCTGTTAAATACTTCCCATGTAGGCTAAATTAACAATTCCTATTGACTTTTCTTCTGCAATATATACAAAATTTAAGCATTTCTAACCATATTTGGACTAGAATACTGCAATAGTTTTTTTCTTTTCTTTTCTTTTCTTTTCTTTTTTAATGATCTATCTGCTACACATTTTAATTCCTCAAAGTCAGTTCTACCCTAATCTTGAATCTTTCTTCTTAAAATGTAAATCATATTATACCCAACATGGTTTGAAATCTTCTACTGGTTTTCCATACCCTTAGCATAAAATCCAGCTGCCCTGGAAGAGCATGAAAGACTTCTTTGGGTCTCTGTCCCTGTATCTGATCTTATTTCCACCCTTCTCTTCTTTCCTTAATCTGTCTCCAGAAGCAGTGTTTCTTTCAACTCCTTGCATAGGATAAACTCACTCTTGCTGTTTCTTCTTTCTATTCTCCCAGACTTCTTTCTTTTTTTCAGATTCTGTTTAAGTGTTACTCTTTCAGAGAAGGCTTTCTGGCCCACTCTATCATGATTAGTGTCCCTACATTTAACACCATGCAGTATTTCTCTCTAGAACCATTATCACCATCTGCATTTATAATATAGGATGTTTCCACCTCTGGTGAGTTTATATAATAAAAAAAATAAGCTTTAGGAAGCCACACATTCGTGCTTGGTAAGTCAATTCAATCATGTCCGACTCTGCTAAAAGGTATTTATTGTTCATAAATAAGGGTTCATAAAAAAGAGAAATATGTTTATTGAATGCTTGTTAGATAAATTAATGAGTGTAATACAACCTGCTAACAACTTATATTTTCAGAAGAATTAAAAAAAATTATATTGAACAAATGACAAAGGTCTGCATAGTCAAAGCCATGGTTTTTCCAATAGTTATGTATAAATGTGAGAATAAAGAAGGCTGAATGCTGAAGAATTGATGCTTTCAAACTATGAAAGTGAAAGTTAGTTACTAGGCTGTGTCCTACTTTTTGTTATCCCCATGGACTATAGCCCACCAGGCTCCTCTGTCCAGGGAATTCTCCAGGCAAGAATCTTGGAGTGGGCTGACATTTCCTTCTCAAGAGGATCTTTCTGACCCAGGGATCAAACCCAGGTCTCCTGCATTGCAGGCAGACTCTTTACCAACTGATCCACCAGGCAAACCTTTTTAAACTATGGTGCTAGAGAAAACTCTTGAGAGTCCCTTGGACAGCAAGGAGATCAAAGCTGTCAATTCTAAAAGAAATCAACCCTGAATATTCATTAGATGGACTAATGCTGAAGCTGAAGCTCCAAAGCATTGGCCACCTGATGTAAAGAGCTGACTCACTGGAAAAGACCCAGATGCTAGGAAAGATTGAGGGCAAGAAGAGAAGGGGGCGACAGAGGATGAGATGGTTGGATGGCATCACTGACACAATGGACATGAGTTCTGAGCAAACTCTGGGAGATAGTGAAGGACAGGGAAGCCTAGTATGCTGCAGTCCATGGGGTCACAAAGAGTGGGACATGACTTAGCAACTGAACAATAACAAATAAATAATTACCTTTGTGTTTGCATGAACTCAGCCAACGTGTCTGGAAGAAAATGAATGTCATCCTATTGACTCTTCTTAAAGGCTAATAACAACAAAGAAATACTTTTAAATTATCTGAAATTTTTAATCAAATTTTGTTCATAATATATTTAATAATAGCAGTTTCTGACATTTTGTTGGTTTTGTTGCTTAAGCAAATTCCAGGTTTTGGGGAGTTTGTGAAATTTTCAAAGTGGTGATCTATGTTTGCTTGGAATTTTTTTTGCTCAGTCCAATTTTATTTAAATAAAATAGAAAATTGAAGTTATGTTAAATATTCTGAGAGTTTAATCTATCTTTAGCAGAAAATTCCCCACTAGAGTAGGAAAAAGTTTAAAATATATCTGCCTGAAAAATAATATAGAATATATCAATTTCCATTTATGAATAAAATATATTTATAAGTGCTTTTTATAGTGTTTTTTCCCATAGAAATGTGTTACTGCCTTTCTCTTTTGAAGGGAGTTTTGGGCATGTAGAATACAATGAGAACTGAAAGAGCTTGGATTAATGGCACCTGCAGTGGTATTTACATACTTTGTCAATAGGATAAGGCAATAGATTGGCCATGTCTGAACAAACCCTGCTCTGTGCTTTGTGGATAACTTGCACCTCAATGGCACAGCTACATTTTCTTGACCTTAACTTCCCAGCCCTTGAAATGTACTCAGCTTGACTCAAATTCACCATGCCATTCTTTGAGATTCAAGATGACAGAGAACAACCTTTTTATGTTTTCAGGGAGTAAAGATGAATGTAATGATCACAATGAAAGCAACATAGCTACTATCACAATCATTGTAATTATAACAGACACTCCATTTTAATTCTGAATTTTATTTTTCAGCATGCCAGGAGCTAATAAATGTGCTATATTATATGTAAAAAAAAAATTAAAAGGAGCTTAATTTCAGCTCTGGAGTAAAATTTTGACAAAGGATCATCTGATAGCTTGTATATAATTTTAAACATTCTATAATATGTGAGGATTAGAAGAGTAAATTTGCAAGGTTTTATTCTGACAATGTATATTTTTATACAGTTTGATGTTTTTTAAACTACATGCTTCAAAGATTTCTGTGCTTTGCAAGTGTCTATGCTCAATTCCATGGTTAAAAAATAAGCATGATAAAAAGATATTGTGCTCTTCTAAGTATATTTTTATTTCATTAATGGCTTCTTAGTTCATGAATATTTCTCATTTTCTAGTGCACACTTTTTTGCAGAATAATTATATTGAAATCTTCCTAGTCAAAATACATTAAACTGTATTGAAATATTAAAAACTGCTTTATTGAAGTCCTTTTATCCTAAAACTTTTTAAAGTTTTTAAAACCTCTATCAGGATAAAATTGGTAAAGGAGTAGGTACAAATATAAAAACAATATTTTTTTCCTTAGAGTTACTTAGAGCAACATTCTGTTTTTATGTTGGTTTGAAAGACATTTACAGAGACATTAAATTTTATCTTTAACATAAGCCAGAGTGTAAGGTGTTCTGTTGTGTGGTTTAAAAGACAGACTGAAGGAGGTTGTCAATCTTCAAATTCTTACACTATGACTTTCTATCTGTGAGGCTTTCAATATATTTCTTAATTTTCCCATGCCTCACTTTCTCATATTCTTTATCAAAAAAGAAAAAAAAAAGAAGGAACAAAAGAGGAAGGAAGGAAAAATGGTAGAAGAAAATATGTGAGTTTGTCTAGGAGATATAATATTTTGAGACAAAATGGATCATGCTTAGAACTGTGCCTTGTACAAACTATGCACTCACTACATAAATGTATGCTACCATAACTACCACTGTAAAGCAGAGATGGCCCTCACATTTTACAAATAAACAAATTTATGATCAAAGAAATTATAACTTGTTAAAAGTCAAAATAGTTAATCCTTGTGGTCTATTTATGCAAAGTCAATTTTTATGGGAGGAAAACGTTCTGCATTTAGTGAGAAACAGAGATTGGCAATTCATTTCCATGATTTACTATAATAGTGATTTGCTGTATTGTTGATCTCTTATAAAGATTTTCATTTTAAACACCATCAGAAGACATAATGATTATCATTATATGCAATCACTGTTGAGCACAGGGAAAGAAGTTGAGATGACTTTACAAAAGTAGCATCAGGTTTGTGTAGAACTACAAACTGATTATAATTGGGTTTTAAATCAAATATATGTCTTTTTATGTTGTGCATCTGCCACATTCTAATGAATGACTTTGGGCAAGATATTAATTTCTCTCAATCTTGATTCCTTCAACTGAAAAATGAGAATAACAGAAACATCTTCATGGTTTATTAAGTAATCCAGTTGTCTTCCCCTGAAATACTTTCATAATTGGATATCAAAACATGCATGGGAATATTTATTACATTATTTATAATAGTAGAAATTGTCATTGAATGTATAAATATATCTTCTTTGATACAGGGATGCATATAAATTATTTTGTTATTAAAAAATCTAATAAGCTAGAAGAAATAGTTTCTCTCTTCAAAGTAAAAACAAACTGATACTAGAATAAAGTTGACTTAATTATCTTTTAATGTAAGAGACCAAAAATAATACTAATACTCATTGTCTTTACTCATGGCAGCATTGTTTACATTGGCTCAACAGTAGAAACAATTTGAATATCCATCAGTGAATGAATGGATAAACAGAAGAGGGTAGATCAATACATTTCTATATTATTCTGCCGTATATGAAAATAGAGTAAAACAGTGCATCTGCTGTGGAAAAAGTATGGCAGTTCACCAAAAACTTAAACATAAATTAGTGAAAGATCCATCAATTCCACTTCAGAGCATATACCCAAATATTTGAAATCAGTGAGTGCAACAAATATTTGTACACCTTTATTCACATCAGCATTACTCAGACTGGGCAAAAGGTGGAGGCCACCCAAGTGCCAATGGATAGATAAACTGACAAAATGAGATATATGTACAAGGGGATATTATTCAGTCTAGAAACTAAGGAAATTAAGGCCCTTGCAATGATATACATGAGCTGTAAAGGCATTATGCTGATGAAATAACTTGGTTCCAAAAGGATGAATATTATGTTTCCACTTCAATGACGTATCCAGAGAAGTGAACTTCAGAGACAGAAGACAGAACATGGTTGACAAGTGTTGAAGAGAATTAGTATTTATTGGATGCAGTTTCACTTAGAAAAAAGAAAAAGTATGAGAGACGGATGGTGAGGATATTTCTACAACAAAATGATGAATGTTATATAATTATATACTTTAAATGGTAAAGGTTATGTTCAGTAGATTTAATCACCATAGAAAATGTGAATGAAGTACTGATACATATTACAATGTGTGTGAACACTGAAAACATCCTAAGTGAAAGAAGCCATAAAAAAATCTACCCAGACCATATTCATCTTTTGTGCTTTAAATCCATTACTGTTGTGAAGATGCAGGAAAGTCTCCATGGCACTTCCAGGAAAAACAAAAACAAAAACAAAACTGAATCAGAATGGAAAAAGACATTTGGACAGGTGGTGAAAGTGGAAGGTGGACCATTGGATTAGAAGGCGAAAGCCATAATGATTTCTCATTTGGGGGATATGTGGGTATTCCCTGGGACAGTGTCGTTCCTAAAACACACAATGGGAATTTCATTTAAATTGGCATATGTGGCAAATCAAAGATAACTGGGGAATCTGAACTTACAGATAAAGAGTAAATTTTCTGTATGTTTGAAATTACTATAAAATAAATCATGTTCCAAAGCAAACATATAAAGACCATACCAGAATAGTAGATAAGACTTCACATTTCATGATAAGGGCCAAGCCCTACTGAGATTCAGTTCACTCAAAATGGTTAAGTTAATTGCACTTATAGAAATTAACATATTATTAAAAGTTACTGTGGGAAGATTATATTAGTAGTAACTATGTCACAATGATGTGATCATTCACCTAGAAGCAGACATCCTGGAATGTGAAGTCAAGTGGGACTTAGAAAGCATCACTACGAACAAAGCTAGTGGAGGTGATTGAATTCCAGTTTAGCTATTTCAAATCCTGAAAGATGATGCTGGGAAAGTGCTGCACTCAATATGCCAGCAAATTTGGAAAATTCAGCAGTGGCCACAGGACTGGAAAANACGTACCGTTGGTTTTGTATTGTGGTGAAGATTGCTGAATGCTTCCCAGTATCCCTTCTTCCCTTCTTGCAACTCTTGTACTCCACAGTTGTAGAACTGGGGTAAGAGTTGCTCACTAAGTGAATATTCCCAGGATGTAAAGTGGCTCTCTACATTAAACCTGTATCAAACATCATTCTTCTCTTGTTACCTGAGAGTATATTTGGCACCTGATACTGCCCTAGGATCTTTAGAAAGAACATTCATTTTATGGTTCAAATTGGCCTGAATTTGGACTGCAAGGAGATCCAATCAGTCCATCCTAATGGAAATCAGTCCTGAGTGTTCATTGGAAGGACTGATGTTGAAGCTGAAACTCCAATACTTTGGCCACCTGATGAGAAGAGTTGACTCATTGGGAAAGACCCTGATGCTGGGAGGGATTGGGGGCAGGAGGAGAAGGAGACGACAGAGGATGAGATGGCTGGATGGTATCACCGACTCAATGGGCATGAGTTTGAGTAAACTCCGGGAGTTTGTGATGGACAGGGAGGCCTGGCATGCTGCAAATCATGGGGTCGTGAAGAGTCGGACATGACTGAGCGACTGAACTGAACTGAACAATGTCTTGGGTGTTGTGGATGACCAGGGGTATGATAGAAACAATGGATTTTTTGAATTAAAACGTTTCATATCAAACCAGCCAAAGATGCAAGTAATGCATGAATTTAGTAAAGTTGCATGAAGTAAAAGCAATACAGAAAAGTCAGTTGGATTTCTATACACTAATAAAGAAGTAGAAGTATCAGAAAGGAAAACTAAGAAAGAAAATCCCATTTACAGCTGCATCAGAAAGAAACAGAACAGAGAACCCTGAAATAATCCCACACGTAGGTGGTCAGTTAATTTATGACAAAGTTCCCAAGGACGTTCACAAGGCCATACACTGGGGAAAATCCTCTCAATAAAGGATGCCGAGGAAATTAGATACCACGCACCAAAAAAGGACCTTGTGAATTGTCTTCAGCACTCATATAACTACCTGAAATTTTATACCTCAAGCCCTTCCTCTGCTTTCTCTTTTGAAAATGGGCCCCCCTACTTAGGAGTCAATCACATGCAGGAAGCTTCTCCCCACTTTTCTTCACCTTTTACTCCCATTGTGATAGAGCAGGTACTGGGGACACTGGGCTCTTGTCTGCATGGGTGAGACCCATCATTGTCCAGAAGCTGAAGTTCCAGTATGTTCTGAGATTTACCGCCTATCCATGTCAACCTGGCTAGGCACTGTCTGGGTGCCAAAGCCCTGGTGAATCCCAGATCCAGTTTATCCAAACTTGTGATGCTAACTGGCCTGTTGGAAAGTGAAAGTGTTAGTCACCAGGCTCCTCTGTCCATGGACTTCTCTTGGCAAAATTACCGGAGTAGGTTGCCATTTCCTTATCCAAGGGATCTTCTCAACCTAGTGATCAAACCTGGGTCTTCTGCTTGGCAGGAAGATTCTTTATCATCTGAGCCACCAAAAAAAGCACTAAAGTTCTAATTGTTTTCAAGTTTCAGTTGCTCATTTTTGTCAAACTCTTTGCAACCCCATGGACTGCAGCCCACCAGGCTCTTCTGTCCACAGAATTCTCCAGCAAGAATACTGGGGTGGGTAGCCATTCCCTTCTCCAGAGGATCTCCCAGACCCAGGGATGAAACCCAAGTCTTCCACATTGTTGGCAGATTCTTTACCATCTGAGCCTCCAGGGAAGCCCTTGTAGAATCCCAAGTGTTAGTAAGAGACATCATGAGAAGATTACATTAGGAGCCACCATATCCTGGATGCTATGAATGAACTAGATAGCATCACCAACTCAATGGACATGCATTTGATCAAATTCTGGCAAACTCTGAGAAATAGTGGAGGACAGGGGAACCTGGAGTGCTTGAGTCCATGGGGATACGAAGAACTGGACATGACTTAATGACTGAAAAACAGCAAAAATAATGGACAACCTGTCCCTCAGCCCCAAGGTGGATGGACTTCCACTGGCAAGGTATGACTTGAGTGGGGCTGTGTAGCACTGCTGAGAGCAGGTCAGGGTAGGGTGGGAGTCTGCTGCCCTCCCCTTGGGCTCCAGGAGACACTGAACTGTGAGCTGGGCTCCCAGGACCTGAGCTGCATTCTGGGCAGTGGGAGCAGGACTGTTTATCCTCAGTCACGTGGTCAGCCTTATCCTCTGTTATTCTTTGTGTAGAAATCATATAATTGAATAATTATATAATTTTTCTTAAATTATTTTTAACATTTAGTAAGCAATAAAATCAAATCTGAAAAACCTCAAGATCAGGGAAATTTTGCAAGATAACTTTTTAAAGGGTTAAGCTAAATCATGTGGAAGATGGTATTATTCATTTAACTTTATACATTCAAATTCTGTCCAGGGAATTCAAATGATTCCTTTTTAAAATGAACGTCTCTCCTGTGGCAGATAAAAGTCAATAATATAGTGCTCATATAAAAGCATCCTCTTCTTCCTTTCCTTGACCTGGAGCATTCTCTAGGTGACTGGGCACTGATTCAGGTTTTCTGGCTCCACTAAGAAGAGACTGCACTTTTCTAAATTTTATTGATGTTGCTTTGTCATTTGAGACAATAAGGATCATTGGGCAAGATGCAACTAAGACCTCAGATAGGAGAACTGAGATTTCAAGGATTTTTGTCTACAATTAGACTCTGTCACATAGAGCCTCTACTCTTTCAAATTCCTAACTGGTAAATCTTTGTCAAATGCTTACCTAGCTTCTAGGATATGAAAATAAATAAGTTGTCATCATTGACGTTAAATAACTTACCAACAATTGGTAAGACATATACAGTATAATATAACACATGTGAACAAATTCAAAAATATAATACACCATTAGGATACTATTAAAAATGTGAATCACAGATATGACTAGGAAACCTGCAGGTGCAAAGACATCTACAGTAATAGCTGGGACAAAAATAGCCTAGATTTTACACATACATGAAAAATCTCATTCTCCTTTTTACTTCTTTTCTTAAATATTCATATTAGCTAAATACTTTTGAAATATTTTTATCTCCAAAAGTTCTAAAAATATAAATAATTAGCAACATATATTTCTATCTACTACTTTATTACACAGATGATTTCCAAATGGTTCTCAGTAAGTCTCATAAGCCTGAGCGGTTTCATTCAAACTCAACTAAAACACTTCACCTTTTCATTTTTCTTTCTTACCCCTTTATTCTGATGATACGTGTGCTTTAACCTCATTTTAAAAGATATTGAACTCCTTACCTCATGCTGAGTTATCAATCAACATTTATTTCAGTACTCGTCAACAGGGCCCTAATGATTCCTGATTGTAATTATTCTCTCATTGGTACCCTCAGATGACTTGCCTTTATGCTTCTGGAGAAATGACCTGTTGCTCATTAACCATAGAACATTTTGGTCTGTTCTTTCAGATCCAGGAAGGATGCTTAGCACTTCTGAGAATTCACCTGAAGGGCACAAATCAGCACCACTACAGATTTACGCTCTTGAATTCAAAATGAACTCTCTCTCCTTTTTCTAATAGCACAAAAAAGGACACTTTGATATCCTAATATAGGGTTTTAACTAAGAGCATGCGATTTGGAGTCAGAAGAGCATGCAATAGAAACTCACCTCTTTTACTTAATATGTGGTGTTCTGTGGACCTCAGTTTTCAACTGGAAATGAAAAATAAAATGAGAATGTGGATTAAATAACATAGTGGAGGATTTTTAAACTCTCTCCCTTACAGTCTGATTTCTTACAGTCTCACTCTTCATATGTCCTTTACACCATCTATTCCACATTGACTCTTGCCATTTGGATATACCTATTACTTTTATGTGAAAATAGAAGATATTCTAAAAGATCTCTCTGAACTTTCTTCCTCTTGAGTAACTTACCTGTATCCAGATTTTTTTTTTCTATTCAAATGGATAAATACATATGGTTTTCTCTGGCTAGCTTCATTATCTGTGCTTTCCATCATTTCTAGTTTGTATTTGGGGAGTTGCTCCATTACATCGTTGCTACTTTTCTTAGGGTGGGGATGAGGGTGGGTGGTATTTCAGTATCTTTTAAATTTGATCAGGTCTTTAAAAAGACCATTTTTTAAAAAGGAAATAATACCTAAACCTCCTTTAATGCTACATCTTACTAGCTATCACCTTTACCTAGCCTCTTCCTTAGCACTCTACCTGTACACATTTTTCTTTTTTGTTATTATCTCTCCTTCTCCACTGTATTCAACCTTCTGTTCTTATGCCATTAAAACAGCTTAAGGGCTTCCCAGGAAGCACTAGTGGTAAAGAACCCACCTGCCAATGCAGGAGACAGAGATGTGGGTTCCATCCCTGGATTGGGAAGATCCCCTGGAGGAGACTTAAACCAGCAAAATAGGTGATTCTTTTGCTGCTAAATTTGATGAAATTTTTAAATAACTAAGTTTGTTAAAGTTCTCCTCTTTATTTCACATATACTAAATTTCAGATGCTTTAGTATTTTTAGAGAAACCATGAATTCCACCAACAAGAATAGATTTGTTCTTTTTTAGACATATTGTTAATTTTGGTGATGTCACCATAGTTCACTGGATGTCAGTAAGAGTTGATTTTATAGGTTAAGAAAGGGCTATTTTAAGTACTATAATACTAGTATCAGACAACTGAAACTAAGAAAAGAGGTATAGAAAATTGATTCAACAATTAGTATATCTATTGATTATTCTTAATGGTGAAAGTGAGAGTGAAGTCACTCAGTCGTGTCTGACTCTGCAACCCGTGGACCACCTGGCTCCTCCATCCATGGGATTCTCCAGGCAAGAAAACTGGAGTGGGTTGCCATTTCCTTCTCCAGGGGATCTTCCCAACCCAGGGATTGAACCCAGGTCTCCTGCATTGCAGGCAAACGCTTTAACCTCTGAGCCACTAGGGAAGCCCATTTAATACCATTCTTAATGGTATTAAAAGTTTAAATTGTGTTCTAGTCATACTAGAATGTAATAAACATGTGGAATGTTCTTGAGGAGAAGATATAATTTTAAAAATTAGTACATGATGGAAGAGCAATCATCAGTTGTTTCTCACCATCCTTGAAACTGTGGGGCTGCTGGGGCTGGCAGGTGGCCCGGACCTGGGTTTCAGTTTCCCCTGAAATGGTGGGATTCCCTGCCCCCATCAGGTAACCTGGAGCCAGTCAATCAACACGCGCCTAGCAAGAAAAAGGGAACCTATCAGGGGAAAGCTGAAAAGCCTGTGAACGCCCAAGTTTGAAAAAAGCCCACGAAGGTTTGGGCCAATAAGATTACTTTGCAAACATGTAACCAATCGGCTTAAGCCAGCTACCAACTGCTTATGCACACCTTATAAATTGGGTAACAGCTTGAGCTCAGCGCTCTCTGACCCCGTACCACTGCGTTGGACGTGCAGTGGGAGCCCTGACTCGAGTCAGCAATAAACTTCCCTTTTTTTGCGAGTTGCATTGTCTTGGAAGCCTTCTCTCTTCCCGCTTGGGGATTCGGACATCGGGCATAACAAAACCACTGTCTTTTCTGCCTGTTCAAGACAATTTCATTTAAGTCTTTTTTTCAGAAATGATTTTTCCTAACTTTAAATGTTATTTCTAATGATCAGAAACATATCTAATTGCCTAAAGCAAATTTGAGCAGCCTTTAGAGCTGTCTCAATCTGAGTATGTAACAAGGTAACAACTCACTTTATTTTTCCCTTATACCCCAGGCCTTGAATACACTCAGTGCCTTCCTGTCTCAAGGCATGTTCACTTCACCACTGCTGCTCCAGCTGGTGGAATTCTGCTACTCCAATGTTATACAATAAGTTTTTGTTCAAAACATTCCCTTCCCTTTTATATTGGGCCTATCTTTATAGAACTTTATTATTTCATCAAGTATTGTAAACGAAAGTGGGGGGTATGGCTGCTTGCCACACAAAAGCCATTAAAGAGGCGATGTTTTGGAAATGAAAGTTTGCTTCATTTTGTATTCTGACAACTGAAGGCTGGAGGAAGTGCGGACACCTATCCAAAGGCTGACTTGCTCCCCACCCCACACAACCAGTGGGCAAGAGGGGGCTACATGCAGAAACAGCACAGTCAACTCTGAGAGTCATCTTGAAGTTAATCGTGTGGAGGTCTGATCAGTGTCATCTTGTTTTAGGTATAGTTGGTCTTCAGTTTCAGAGTCAGTTTGCTCTCACTTCTTTGAGACCAGTTCTTGGAACTGTGTGAAATGGAGCAAATTGTGTCATAGCTTAGACTTGGTCATCATGCAATTAGCTTCTTCCACCTGGTGGGGGTTTCAGTATCTATAGGACAGCTCACAGGATATGACTCAGAATAAAGGTCCTTAACTTTGCTTATTGTCTAAACTATGATTGTATTGTCTTGTTTGACTGCTTCTCTTTGTTTCTGCATTTTTATCACTTCTCTGATTAATCTTATTCTTTGGCTAAAGTCTTTCCTCAGGCAAAAGGCAGGCAGAGGACATAGTGGGGTGGGCAAGGACCATAGGGTCCTGCTCCATTTCAATATCACCATATACTCAATCACTGAAATCTGGAATATAGAAGCTGTTTTTTATCTCTGTTCTTTATTCATCATGTGTAAATAATATTCTTAATAAGGAATAAAGTTAAGAATATAGACTCTGGAGCTATCAAAATTCAAATCACAGTTTTGCCATTAGCTCTCTGGCTTTGGGAAATTTATTTAAAATCCGTGTGCCTCATTTCCCACATTTTAAGTTTGCTAGTTTCAGTACTGATACTATCTCTCTAAATTCATTCTTAGCCATCATCATGCTGAATTAGCTAGATTTCCACTGTTTCCATTTTAAATATTAAATTATTTTTTATTTCTTTTTTACTTTTATTGAGGCAACACTGTTGTTTTTTTTTTTTTCCATTTCTTTTTATTAGTTGGAGGCTAAATACTTTACAACATTGCAGTGGTTTTTGTCATACATTGAAATGAATTAGCCATGGATTTACATGTATTCCCCATTCCGGTCCCCCCTCCCACCTTCCTCTCCACCCGATCCCTCTGGGTCTTCCCAGTGCACCAGGCCTGAGCACTTGTCTCATGCATCCAACCTGGGCTGGTGATCTGTTTCACCCTAGATATACATGTTTCAATGCTGTTCTCTTGAAACATCCCACCCCCGTGTTCTCCCATAGAGTCCACAAGTCTGTTCTATACATCTGAGTCTCTTTTTCTTTTTTTGCATATAGGGTTATCGTTACCATCTTTCTAAATTCCATATATATGTGTTAGTATACTGTAATGGTCTTTATCTTTCTGGCTTACTTC